TGCCACCGTGCTCCACAGCAGGAGCGGGAGCAGGGCTCGGGTTCGAGCTCGGGCTCCGGCTCAGACTCGGGCTCCGGCTCAGCGCGTCCGCAGCCCCTGGAGCCATCATTGCTGCGCTTCCTGGTGTGCCCGCTCTCCAAGCGGCCGCTGAGGTGAGGATGGGGCGGGGGAGCTGCGCCCCAGCCCCGGGCAAACCCAGGTTAGTCCCTGCTCCTCATGTTTTCGCTTGGCTTTTTCTCCCCCACCTCCCCACACCGACTTGGCTGACCAGGTACGAAGAAGCTACGAACGAGCTCATTAACGAGGAGCTGGGCATCGCGTACCCCATCATCGACGGCATCCCGAACATGGTTCCGGAGGCTGCCAGGAGGACGCACCAGAAGCCGCCGGCCGAGGGCTCGGAGCAGCCGTGAGGAGCCGCCGGGCACGGCGGTAACGGGGCCTGATGGCCGGAGCAGGGCTGCTGCCCTCCCTGCCCACGCTGACTGTGCTCGTTCCCCTCCTGTCCCTGGCAGGCCTGTTCTACTCGGCCAGCGTAGACGAAAACTTCCCCCAGGGCTGCACCAGCACAGCCAGCCTGTGTTTCTACAGCCTGCTCCTTCCTGTTACAGTACCAGTTTATGTGTTCTTTCACCTGTGGACCTGGATGGGGATTAAGCTTTTTAGGCATAACTAGTGCAATGCCTTTGCTAACCCCTGGGCTTCTCTAAATCAACATAATTTGTTTAATCTCATCAAGTATTGCAGTTCATTGGAGAGAGTTTCCTTCTGACACTTGTGACTGGCATAATTTTCCTGGTAAGATCTGGAACTGTATGAAGCAGCAGCCCACTGTTAACTACTGCTAATGCAGATGAAGAGTAGGAGTAATAAGAAGCACTAATTCCCTCTGTTTTATCCTTTCAAGAGTGCTGTGCATTTGTAGTGACACTAATTAGAACCTTAGTTTTCATGAGGAAGAACTGTACCCTGACCGAATAAACGAAATTAAAATTAAAGCATGCAGTGATATGAATCTCTGTTTGAGAGCTTTGGGGGTTTTTAGCCAGATGTGTGTACTGAAATATGTTTGTCTTACTGTCAGAAGAGCAAAAATTAAAATAAATCAGGCTGGTGTTTAATTAGAAGACTTGAGATGAGTCAAATTAAGACATTTCTTTCTTGGATGATACCCATGTCTGTATGTGCAGTACCTGCAGATCTTTTCTTTTTGGCCATGATGAGAGTGCCACAGGCCAAGTTCTCAGTATTGTCTTAAAAACTTTTCAACAGGACACAGCTATGAAGGGGGCAGGTCAATGCTACAGTGAAGGTTTATTTTTTATGTTTTGCTTTTGGGTAGTTTGTATTCGCAATACAAAACACCTTTGTGTCCTTTACCTGCTGAAAAATGCAGAAAGGAAGCACCAAGTTGTAAATGCTGCACCAGGCTGTAAGTGCTGTGGGATACTAACAGTGCAGTTATATTTTTCAGGCTGCTGCTGGGTAAATAATACTGTGATGCACAATGTGAAAGGCAGTGCTCACAAGAGGTGTGCCCAAAGGCTGACTTGAGCTAAGAGCAGCTGTTTGTCAAAGCTTGTACAATAGGTGGAGACTTGAAATCTAGAGAACAGTACAGAGCACACCCTCACTGCCTCTGTAAATAAATGCCTCTCTCAAATAGTGAGGTGCAGTGAGGAACCAGGAAGGAAAGGTAGCTCTGGGAGCCATTGTGAATCTTCTCCTAAGTAAATGGGAAAGAAAAGCTTTGACAGCTCTGGTTGGCAAGAAAGCTAACATGGAAAGCATCAGGGCACCAAGCTCCTGTGGTGCAGGTGTGGTGCCAGACTTTGTGCTGGTGACAGGTAGGGCACGTGGTCCCTGAGCTGAACTCTGCTCTGGGCAGGTCCTGCTCCCATGTCAGGCAGCTGATGGTTCTGCAGGGCAGGGCCAGCATTGCCATTCCTGCGGGAAACGCAACTGCCACAACCTTCGGATCTGTGTGGAAGCCACAGATTAAAGGCACGTGGAGACAGCAGTATTGTAATCAGATGCCCATCTCTCTGGCAGCACTATCCTTCCTTTCCCTTCAGACAGCATCACCATGAGAGAAATGTAATTTCGTGGCTGTGTTGCTTACTGTCCCCTCTGGCTGGTTCCCCAGATGCTGGGGTTTTAATGTACTAGTAGGAAGTCTCAAAAGTCAGTCTAGCAGCAACAGGACTGGACTTTGACAACTGGGCAATTCTATTCCATTACCCCAAAGCAATCTCACTGCCACTTGCACTTAACTTATGCCAACAAAGCTGCATGGAATAAGGATGTAAAATACTACCTCCAGATTTACTCTACACCATCTGTGGAACATGTTTTACAATAATTTGAGGAGCAGTTCTTTCGCTGTATGCTCAGAAGATACTGAAACCCTTGTACCAATATGCAGTAACACTGAAAATCAAGGAACACTGCAGCAAGATACTCAGAGCTAACAAGTAATATAATGTAGTATCTTACCTTTAACTTCTTCCTGAAATCTTGGTTTGAGGCAGATTTTAAATTTTTCCACATGTCTTGGAGAAGGTATTGTCTTCTGACGCAAAAATTCCATGCCTCAGGGGTCCCTATAAAGGGTATCTGGATAAGGGGCATCCAAGGATTGAAGTAATAGTCTGTTAGCAGTGTTCGCAGTGTATTTATCTCTTCTGATTGGTAACAAAATTGGTTGCACTTACAGTAAAGACTTTGGCCAGAGCCTTGCATTCTGTAATATGAAGGCGTATCTTGTTTTCCCTGTCAAAGATGCATGGGTACTTGCTCAGCTGCTGTAGGACTGCCTGAAAGGACAAGGAAGGAAGGAAAAGACATGCTGATTTTCCCTTGTGAAACCGGAGTTCAGGGACATGTCTGCAAACTGAACTGCCAGTCTGTACCCTGGCAAACTTCTGTGTCTCTGAAATGAGCCCTTGTGTGCATGAGCACTGCACTAACAGAGGTTCACATCCTAAAAACAGCTCCTACACACTCCTGTGAGTGTGAAGCAGAGAGAGGTATCTAATGTTACTCTCTGTGCAGACAGACACTTGTCTACAGTAGTGCCTCTAGAATAAAACAGAGAGAGTGATTTTAACAGCATCTTCCATAATACAGCTAAACCAAAATGTCGTGGATACTCAGATTATGGTATATTGTTTTTAAAAACTGATGGGTTTATTATATGTAATACCAAAAATAGATACTGGTCTAAAAATAATCTGATTTAAAGTGTTATACCTCCAGTGTGATAAGGCACCAACTTCAGGTAACATCCTAACTGGCTTTTGATTCTATGCTGTTGCTCAAACCTCCTCCTCCACCCTGGTTAATTGGTACAAAATTGGTACATTAGCAAACAAAAGCTTATGAAGGAATTAGTCAGTTGCTCTACAAATTCCAGCCAAGTTGCGTGAAAGTTTTTTTTGCCAAAGGAAACCCCTACTATGCACATTTCCATTTCATACTGCTTCCTCTGACACTGACTGCATTTGGTAGCTAATTCTCACTCTGTATCAAGAAATGCCACAGATTATTTTTTATTACCACGGCTTTGTTTTAAGATGTAAGTACATTGAAATGCTCAACAGGATTTCTAAATAAAAGTTTAAAGACACCTCAAAAGATTTCTCTTAATTAAACATAATAAAATCCAGAGTAACACAAAGTATAGCAACCATCCCTCGTGCTTCTATTTCACAGTGATTACTAGTGCAAAGCAAACAGAGCTGCTTAAGATGCTGGAGGGCAGCTCCAACTCTCAGAACCAGGGACCATCTCAGGAAAAGCTCTATTGTAGCTGCTGGAACACTGGGATGGTAAAGGGCTTGCATAATTTAGAACTTTGGAGAACTAGGGAAAATGAAATGCCTTTGAGATGTGCTGGGTTAGTCTCTAGAGTTGACTTCCATATATATATATATGTATATAAACTATTGAAATAAAAGAATAAAGAGTGTTTTGCATTGCTGGTCAGATTTATACTTACTACTATATTGAAGAATGAACATATGTTGATAATCTCTCTCATCACATGTACATGGAAGATGCTTTCATGTACTCCAAAACCAGTTCTGGAGTTCACCTGCATTGAAACATGCAATATATCAGCAGCAGAACTAGTGAGCTGTGTCTGTCTGGCAGGACAGGACTGACAGAGCTTTCTTCAGAAAGGGTTCTGAGACCCTGCACAGAAGTTACAGGATAAAAGTGCTCAAGAAGCACAGTGCTCCACAGTGAGAAGTCTTAGAAAGCCATGTATAAACTAGCAGGAAAGCAATTTTCATCTACAATTAAGATCTCTTAGCAGGACTCCATTGGAAAAAGTGTATTTCCCTTGGAGTGTCTTTCATGTTTCTGCAGTTCCCTATTCATGTTCCTGCTTGTTGCCTGGAAAAGATGCTTGCAGGGGGACAGTGAACATTTAAAACTCCAAATAATGTAATCATTTACAGAGGAGTGGGCCTGCTGCATTTTTTAGTTTATTTATCTGCATAAATACAAATTTGACAGTCTAAACTTTGAGGCCAAATTCTGCATTCTCAGCCAAAAGGATATTCAAGTCTGAACAAAATTTAACAAGTCTCTCTGATTTATACTGTGTGCTCAAGCTCTTAACTTCCATATACTTTGAATATCTCCACAGGAATGTGGAGGGAAAGTATGGTTGTCCAGAAGAACACAGTTATTGCTTCCTTTGTTTCCCTTGTTCATGTACAGCTAAAGGTGTTCTAATGCTGCTGTCCCAGAGAATTTGTCAGGTTAATGGGCTCTTAAAGCATGACAGAGCATGTCTGTGGCAGCCACAATGTGCCAAGCAGATAGGTTGTCTTTTAAATGCTCTGAGCAGTTACTGGGGTGAGGGATCTCGCCAGCAGAAAGGGGAATGGGCATGTTACGTAGAGGACACCACATCCATAACTGTGTAGGCATCAATGGATGCACTCCTGACACCACTGAAAGCATTTTTCCCCCTGCCAGGGCTATAACATGCTTCAGCTCTTAATTTCTACAGAGGGTCAGTTTGGCACAACTCGAGCAGGACTTCTTCAAAACTGTGCTGGTGTAGAGCCAAAGAGATTGCTGAAGCAGTGTCAAACCCAGAGAATTCAACAAGTGAGAAGTATTAAAATACTCTAGGCTACATTGAGGCACCCTGTCTAATTGGGATCCAAGCACCTTCTCACCTGGTAAAGCATCTGCAATATTTGCAGAGGCCCAGTTTCAAACGGGTTCAGGTTGAAGAGGCGGCTTGGCCCCGTGGCTTTGAAGTCCTGGACAAATGAGAACAGAACTTCCTGGGAAGCCCTCTGATACAGAATGACCAGCTCCTTGAAAAAGGATGTTTCTAGATTTGACCATAGACATTCTGTAAAGAAAACAGCTAGTGAGGTCACAGGTAACATACAGATCACTGAAATTTGTGGATGGAGCTGCTTTTTCTCTTTTTATCAAATGAATTAAACAAAAAGAAAAAAGTTTAAGCTTGCACTATAAAAACTATTAAAACTCGGACAGAATTTTTAAAATTCCTTGCTGCATAGTTCCCATATTTCTATGTCTATCAAAAGCAATTATTTCAAGCTCTGGAACACATTACATCAGGGATAATAACACTTGTTCTGCAGCAGAAAATGACCAAGCATTTAAATAATTCAGTTCTACCATCATAAAACCCTACCAAGAGTTTGCAGGCCTTCTGGCTGGAGCTTCATGATGGCTTCAGCCAGAACAATCAGAGAAAGCACAGAGAATTCATCCTTCTCCGTTAGAAGGAAAGGCAGGATCAAGTAGACTCTGAAATTTTCAGGTGAGATGGGAGAGGAAGACAATGATGGCATTAAGTTCCTAATCCCCATTTGCACCTTCAGAGGGGAAAAAAATTAAAAAGAGACAAGGGTTAAAATGCAATTATGTTTTGCCAAAGTAATTAGGTTAGCATGAAATTCTTATGTTTCATGCACAAATCCAAAGCTCCTTAGTATCTGTGTAGTGAGCATCCTTATATCAAATCCTTACCTCCTCGTAGACTCTTTGTTTTTTACTGATCTTCTCATAAAAACGTTTCACTTCTGACATGTCTATGCCTGAGACCTCTTTGGAAGTTTTGAAATGTTTGTCCCTATCACAACATAAAAAAAGAACACTAAATAATTTTTCTTCTGAATAATGAAGCATTGTAATATCAGAATCATTGTAATATCAGAAAATACTTGGAAAGTTCAGGCCCAGCTCCTGTAGGTATAATTTCATGTGTTCTAAGAAGACAGACAACACAAGCCACTATTATGTGACTTGATTAACATCCTGTCCTTTCTGTCTTGTGTGGCTGTGAACTATTAATGGTAGACTCCTGTATTTCACCCTAAAATGACTTCCACTTCAGTCCCAGAAGGAGCTATTAAGGATCCTTTGAGAGCTGTAATATTGCATAAGAGGATTATCATCATCTGCCAAATATCACTACAGGATAATCTTCTAAAATGTGAGTTTCTCTAGCACATTTCAGTGGGACCAGGGCTATAAAAATTTTAATATTAGTTTGAGCTTTGAAGAATAAAGACTTGCTTTTTGCAAATTCAGATAAAACTAATCTTTTCTACATATGTGACCTAAAATAACACATTTTAGTCAGTTTACAATATATTCTGTTATGTCTAAGTCAGTGCGTACTACCTTTTGTCCAGGAAGCTTCCATTGATGCAAGCCTCAGATGAAAAGATCAGTCTGATAGCCCTGATAGTAAAAAAAACCAAAAAGTCAGTCCCTTCAACTTTAGATTTTTAACTCTGAAAGACAAAAAATGTGTACAAGGGTGTCTGCACCTGACCACACAAAACTTTTCTTAGCACCACTTCCCTGCCAGGGTTGCAGAAGACGTTGTACTCAAGGAGTTACTGATCTTTGGCAAGCCACCTCTGCTCTCCTGGGCCTTGTAAGGGAACCTGCTCAAGGTTCTGCCCCATGCCAGCCAGTGTTCCATTCTGGTGAGTGTTATCATGGACATTCTTCTCCTCACAGGTCAGATCATTAGCTGCTTTTGTTTGTTGTACGAAATAAAAGGCACTGCTACATGGGAGGGAGGAGAATCTCCTCCACGGACAGCACGTGAAGGGAAAATCCATCAGGCTATCAATTTACTACTGCACAAAAGCTGGGTTCCCAGAACCTGAAGGGACATCAGACTTACTAACATACAATATTTCTGGTTCTGTTCTTATTGAAGTAGCTGTTTTATCAAGCAATTTGCTGTCAGGCCTTTCCTACTGAGATCTGGAAAGAACCCTCTCTTTCACCCTCTCAACCACCACTTTTCACATGACCCAAACTGTTCTAAATGTGGTCAGGGAAACATATAGTTAGCCATTCCAAGTTAGCCAAGCTTTTGAAATGCTCAAAATCAGCAGCTGCAGTCAGACTTTTCCAAAGGAAAAAACCTCCCATATAAAACCTGTGAAAGACTATAAATGTAAGGCATACCACAGTGGTATATATACATATTGCTTTTGAAAATGGGTAATTAAAGAAGTGACCACTAATTTTTAAATGCTGGCACAGCATTCCAGTTTGGGTACTCTGGATTAGGCTTTTTGCACAAGGCCTTGGTCTGCAGGCAGGGTCTTTCATTGATTTAACTTGTCAGCTCCTCATGAACTTTGTGCCAAGGTACAAGATTGTGCCTTGGCTAAATTCTTGAACAGCAGTTCCTACAATAGCCTCCGAAGAACAATAATTTGTAGAGAAAATCATGCAACAGGGAAAAAACCACAAATGAACCCAAATAGCAAGTTTCTGATTTACCTTTTTATACTCCTAAAACATTTAGAATTAGAAATCCATGCATCCACTTCTTTATCCTCCAGAGTGGCAATTCCATTCAAATACAAATTCTGGGTGAAATACATTAAAACATTGACAAAATTTAAATTGCAGCAGATGGGATTATTTTTTTTCCAATCCAATCATAACAAGATTTCAGCCTAAGTATGAACAAATTAATGGTCATCCAGCATGATCCATATGCATTAACCACAGAACATATATAACTGCAATACAAGTTAAGTCTGTAGGTAAAGCACAGAAAAATCTGCAATAGACACATATAAAACTGAAATGCTACAAGCACGTTCAAAAATCCAAATGTTTCCAGCAGTAATGTGGACAGTGGTAAAATCAGAAGCTATGACCAAATGTGCACATACCTTGTTCTCCTTGCAACGGGCAAAACTTTGTAGTACTGCTTTAGTAATTTTAATCCCCTTTTCTGAAGCACCCTTTTCTGTGAAAGAACAAAGAGACTGTTGTAGGAACATTTGAAGAGACAGTCATTATCTTCAGAGAGTTAAGTGCACAAAAGTGGAACAGTAAAACACCCCTTCATAAAGTAGTTATTTGTTTGAAAGTTTGATTCCATGAGACCATTACCCATGATAATCTAGCAGCAAATGGAATAACTCCTGGCAGAATTTGTTGGGATGGCCAAGCAAGCATGAGACAAAATGTTTGCCTTTCAGTGTAAACATGAAATCAAGAAAGCAAACATCTCCATGGAAGAAACAAATACAGATTGTATACATCTGCAGTGGTCATTACTCTGGCAGGATTCTCCAGTATTCACTGGTGAATTGATGGGAAGTGGTATCAACTGACTGGGCTTCCTCTCATCTTCCAGTTGTCCTTCACCATCAGAACCAAAGAAATAGAATTTGTCCAAGGAACGGACATAGACCAGGGTGTGTTGTCTGCTCAGGGAAAAAAAAAGTCATAATAAGTGAAAATCACAGGGCAAAACAGAATAAAATTTACAAATACATTTTCAGAGTGTACACCTGAAGCTTGTCTTTAAAAGTCCTGACAGTCTAGATAAAGAATCCTTTAACCACAGTGTTACAACTCTTCATTGCATAAACATTCAGCAATAAAGACACATATGGACTCAGATTTCCTATACTATCCTCTAATGTTTGTGATTTACCTTGGTTCCATATATAAAAATAGTTACAACATGCTTGCTTCACACCCTTCTGTTTTCAACATGCAGTTTCTGTGCTGCTGAGCCTGATACCAAGCCCAGGTGAGTTGGCAGGAGACTTTTTCTGGCCCAGTTCCAGAAGGGCAAAGTGAAACTGGGTAATTATCACTGCTCTTCAATTCTTTCAATTAAGAACCAACCAGTTTGTCAGTCTGGCTGGGAATTCAGTGACTCTCCTGATGCAGGTTTTTGACAGTCCTTTGCCCTTTGGAACCCAGTACAAACCCAGTGTATTGTTTATTAAAAGAGAAAAAGACCAAGGGCTTCTCTGGTGCATTTTGCAGCTCTCTCCCACTGCTCACCAGGGACTGAGGGTGCTGCTCTCACTGGGGCTGTGGCAGCAGGGTGGCTTATACTTGAACAGTGGATGGATACTCTGACAGTGCTGACCTATTGTGATACAGGCATTTGAACATCTTGGTGACCTCCTCCCTGCTGTTCTTCAGTGATTCCCCAAAGGCCTTGACCTTAAAAGACAAGTCACTGGCACATCCCACCTGCCACAGGCAATGCATGAAACCCTTGCTCCCCACAGCTCAGCCACCACACGAGGCAGGAGTTCATTCTGGGTGGAGTTGTGACCCAGCTGGCCAGATCCTCCTGCTCCAAAGGTGCACACCAGCCCCTCCTTGAAACGAAGAACAAACAGGATCACTGCATTATTAACAGCAATCAAATGGTCACAACCAAGAATGAGGGCCAGCAAAACATGTTATGTGTTACTTGATTCAAAACATCCCTGATTCCAACATGAGGAGGGCTCCCTTTGTATCCAGTCAGATCACACACTGGAAAATCCAAATCATTTAGCTCATGAGAAAAGCAATTTAACTTTGGAGAATAACTCCCTGTTGCTTAAGAATTTTACTTGTATGAGTATACCCTAGTGAATTGCATGTCATTCACATCTTCTGAAGTCCCCAATATACTATAAAAATAAAAAAATTCATAAAGTACTGGGAGTTGAACTGGATCTTTTTGCCTCAGGATTCCCATTCACCATATCCTTGCCAAAGGTTGCATGAAGGTGACAGGAATATGAGAAAAGACCAGTTTTCCCAAAAGCTTAGAAAACATCCCTTGGGTATCGCCTTCAGGCTTAGGTGAAAGCATGCATTACCATCCCAATTTCTCCATGTCTTTTCTTCATCTCTCTCTCTTTTAGCAGTGTATCTTTTCTCACAAGGTGAGGTCTCAGATGCTGACTTTCCACTTCAGACTCACCTTGGAGAGAACTGCAGTATGATCTGCTCCACATGAGATAAATACAGTCTTCCAGTGCTCTAAAGCTACAACATATGTTGGACAGTCCCTGTCTGGAAAAAAGATAATACTGCTAGATTGAAAGAGTACTGGAGGGTCTCATATACAGAAAAAATTAGAAGACAGGAGTATTAAGTGTTTTTCAGCCCTCTCTCACAGCAATTAATGTAAATACAGCTTGGGTTTGGGTTGTTTTTCCTCCAGTATAATATATTCTTTCTCATAATGTTCTGTGTTTTTCATATTACTTTATTTTCATTTACTTTGGTCTGAAACAAAACGCAGTACTTCCCTATCTGCTTGCCAAGTGGTATTTGTCTTTAAAATATCTGATTTTCAAGGTGTGGACACATTGAGATTAGATGTTCTGTCTGTCTAGGGCAAGTCTTCTCTAGCATTCTAGGTTTGAAGACAAGAGGTGATTTAAATTCTTCTCTCACTTTGTGTTTACAGAGAATTAAAGACTATTAAAAATATAAAATTAATTTCTTTCATGCAAGACTTCCTGGAGAGGAGACAGGAGTGGAAATAGATGTGTAAGACCTCAGAGGTTTTAAAGGCCCACACTATCCAATTAGCCACATAAAATGATTGCAAGTTCTCTACAGAAAAACAACCACTAAATACATCATTCCTGTATGCCTTTCCTGGTCAGGAAACAAAGAACATCTCCAGATGTACTTTCTCCAAAAGACTTTACTGCCCACCCCTGCTCCACAGGAGCTTGACAATAGTGAGGAGCAATTTGGTGAGCTCACTGACCAGGAAAACACCCTCCTGGTACTCTCCTTTCTTACCTTTTGTGTCTCCGAGTCCCAGCTGTCCAAAACTGTTCTTTCCCCAGGAGTACACAGCTCCAGAGAGTGACACAGTGGTGCTATGAGCTCCTCCAGCAGCAATTTGAGCAAGTGGGATGCCCTTTAGTCTTTCCACCAGCTGTGGTTCAGGAGTAAGCGTGGTTTGGCTCCCCACTCCAAGCTGTCCGTGGGTGTTCTGGCCCCAGGTGAAGAGCTCACCCCCTTCACACACAGAACAAAAGAAAACAGCTCAGCTTCACTGCTTCCCTTGAGTATTTGCATTTTGGGAGTAGGAGCAAAACTCAGTGCTGTTTTCAGGGACCTAGCTTCAAGGCAAGAACATCATGTGTGCCGAAATTTGTTTTCTTCTGACCTGTTTGGGACAGTCCCATGTTGCCAAGTAACTCAGCACAGCAAGAATAAAGGCCCCTAAAGTCATACCTGCTAGAAGTTCCCTACCAGAAAGGTGTTGCAACTTAAGAATGAGCAAGTCTGGTGACTGCAGAGTGGGGCAGCCACATCTGCTCACCACAACACACCTTTGTGGAGGGGCAGTGCTCAGGAACTCGAGAGAGTCATAGAGAGATCCAGATCCCTGGGTGCTGGGAGGAAGGAGCACCACTGACAGCCAGTGCACTTGGTGTCCCCAACTGCTCATTACTCTATAGTGGTGTCACCAACTACTGCAAGTAGCACAAACACTGCCTTCTCAGAGCAAGCATGACTCCTGTTTGGAGGAAAAGTGTTCTTGAAAGAGGCTACCTCTGGATAATGCCATGGCATGCTGGTCCCCACATGCTATTTGAACAATAATTCGGTTTTCCAGTTCTTTCACCAGCCTGCAAAAATAAGGAAAGAAAAATCAAAATAAATAGATGCTGTGCTGTGAGACCAAGTAAAGGACAAAGATCGTATGCTCACCAAGCCCTATCACTTTTAGCAGGAAATATGTGGAAAAATACAGGTCACATGTGAGCTGATTCACCCTTCTCTTATGCTGACCTGATGTAGCTGGGCTGACTTCACTGTGGTTTGCTCCACGTGAAGCTGGAAAAGAACCATGCTCAGCCTGATTCTGTTATCTTGCCCTGGGCAAGAAAGTCACACAGCAAACTGCTGGGCCATTTGTAGATGATGGTTACCCTGACAGCTTCATCAGAAGGTGGTAAGGTTCAGACATGCTTGTGTCTTTCACCTGCAGTTTTCCCAAGCCATGGGTGATTTGCAAGGCATCTGCATTGCTCTGGTATGTTCTACTGACCCCTTACTAAGTTTGAGAGGAACCTGTCTCATGTGCATCCCAAGCAGCTCAGATCTTGGTATCATCCTCAAAATCTGTGCCCTTCTGGCTGGGTTAAAAAAGGAGATAATACTAGGAAGGTATGTGTTCCAGTTCTCTCTCTACAACAAGAATATGCCTCAAACTCTTGGATGCTACCTTGGGGAAAAGCAGGCTGCAATTTCTGACCATTGCCATCCATACCTCCACCCTGTGAAAGCTTCTTACCTTGTCTTGGGGCAGTTTCCTGAAGCTTTAGCCCAATGTTCAGAAAGCTTCCCGTTAGGGGAGAGAATGAGCTTATGTGTTGCATCATGGTTTGAGCAGTGCACCTCCTCATTCCTCTGCGACTGTGCGCTCTCTGCAGGACACAGACAGACAGACAGACGGTCACACTATGGCAGCAGGCACCTTAACCACCTCGGCCCCCTTCCCAAAGTCTCAGTGTGCTACTGCTTTCAGCAAGAGTTTCTGCTTCTCAGGAGGAAGGGAGACTGTGGAAGCCCAGGGCACCAGGAATATTTCTGTCTGCTCTGAGGTGTCCTGACCCCCATGGGAGCACTGACTTTGACCCTCATTCATGGAAAAAGCTTCCTAGACTTCAAGATAGACTAGAATCCACAAAAGTGTGAAACAGATTATAGAGAGTAGTGTAGGTTTATCACTTGCTGATAAATTTAGGTTTTGGGATTTTTAGTATGTTGTAGATGGAAGCAAGATGGAGGGCACAAGGTGTTGTCCTGAGTTTCTTCTTCATGCTTCTTCTTCCTCCTTCTTCATGGGTTTGGGTGGCATTTTGTAACTGGGCAGAAAAGTCCATATTGCAACTCTTTGGGATCAGTTATTGGGTTAAAAGGGAAAATAATCTAGGTGTCAGTTCTTAATTGAATAGTTTAGTCTTAAAAGACCTTCTAACAAGAGACTTTTAGCCGTTTTGTGCCTTCTAATGAAAAGCTGCCAAACTCACAGTAGTGAGACTGTTTTACTGGTAAGAAATAATAAACACCTGAGTCCAAACATGAACTACTGTCTCAAATGTCTTCAATCCAGACCCAGAGAAACCCACAACTGGAATCTCCACAGGAGACAAGTGTGTGTCTGATTTTCTCAGGCCCCTTAAGGTTTCAGTGTCCTGCTTAGCCACTGGCTTGTTTCATGCTGGATGACTCTGCACCAAAGGACCTTGCTCCATCTCTTAGGCTGCTGTGCCACCAGCTCTCAAGACAAACCAGTGAAGATTGTCCCAAGACAATCAGCAGAAGTCTGTTGCTCTTGTACACCTGTGGAGAGTGTCTGACACACTTTGGAGACAAAGCACTTCCTGAGGCATCTGGCCACCCCAGACTTGTCACTTGGGGATAGGATGCCTTCAAGTCAAGCACTTCACAAAGTGCTGGAGAAGCAATGATAGAAAATTCACTCATTGCCTCTTTACAGCAGAAGGAAGTACCTCCTTGTCTACAGCTGAGGGGCTGCAGATACTCTCCCGACCTAGAGGCACCAGGGACTCAGTCACTCGCACGTAGCTGTGCTCCAGCACAAGTGTCTGAGACCCAGGATGTCCAAGAGTGAAAGGCGGTCACCAGCAAAGCCTGCCCTAATTTACCTAACACCTCCGGAGACTCGCTGCCCACCCTTGTCACACATCAGACACGGAACTAGAGAGGAAAATCCCTGTCTATTCCCCGGCACGTTCTCCCTCCTTCCAGTCCCGCGCACTGGGACACCTTTTAAGCCCCTCACGCCCCGTCCCCGAGGGGTCGCCCAGCAGATTGCTGCACTTCCAGCGCTTCCACCTGCACGGACCCATCCCCGGGGGTCTCCCAGCGTCCTCCCGACCGTGGCTCCCGCCGCTCCGTACCTCCCGTGCCGCGCCCCCGGCCCCGCCGCCGCCGCCGTCTCCCCGCCATCCCTCGTCCGCCGACAGCTCGGGAGTGCCCGGGCAGCGCCGGGAACGCCGCACCGGGGAAATGGAAACCGAAACTCATCAGGGGCTGCGGCAGCGGGAGGAGCAGCGGGAGGGATTCCCGATACCTGGGAGCCCGGAGCTGGGAAACTCTGACTCCTGCAGTGAAAAGGCGGGGGCTAGTAGGCTCCGGTGGGCTCCCGGCTCTCCTCAGCCTGCTGCTGCTGCCCGGGTGGGATGCCGGGGTCTTCCATGTGCAGAATGCGCTTTTTGACTTTATTATTCACTTCGGAGAGTGACTTGCCCGTGTCCATCCTGTGGAGAGTAGAGAGATCTACTCTGCTGCTCAGCTGTATCCCAGCTGAGCCCACGCACACACAGAGGGGCTGCTTGGCTGGGGGAAGTCAAACCGCAAGTGAAACGCTCGGTTTGGAAATACATCAACATCTAAAAGCCATCTGCTTCCATTCTCGCATAGTCTCTGCTGAATCTCCCCCGCCTTCAAAGACCCTGTGAGCTTCCTCCGTCCCAGGAAGACCACCCTGCCTGCCTCACCTCCCACACTGTCTCACTGGAGTGATGCATGTAGGACAATCTTGGTGATGAAATAAGGGATACCCGTGTCAGTGATGAAACAGATCAAAACATATAAGATCACTTTTGTTGTATTCATAATAGCTGCCACTGATTAATTAAATTCAATCTGTTTGTGAGAATTTTATGCTGCTGAATATTAAGAAGAGATTTTGGTGGGGCACTCTACAAAAGTCCCAAGAAACACAACATGAATCTACAGATTTACACTGGCGTTCACTGAAATTCAGTGGAAAATTCATTACTGAGACAGCAGGAGCATCTAATGTAATGTATTTAAATGGAGCAGCCTGTGGTGCACAAAGAGGCACCCAGAGGTCCCTGAGGTGAAGAAAAAAGGATGTGGAGGAGCCATGGAAGGTGAGGCTGGGGCATACAGTAAGTGACTTCTGCCCAGGGAGGAGCCTTATCTCTCCCAGCCAGTTCCCTACACACACTTTGCACATCATATCTCCTTCCACAGCATGCAGGAAAGTGTCGAGATCAAGAAATACCGAGCTAGAGCAGTAATGCCAAAGCATCATCTGGGAAGGGACACTAGAGGTCCTTCTGCACCAAAGCATGAACTAAGGACTCCTCCCTGTGAGGAAAACACTGCTCCAAGCACTGCCTCCCGCCTGGCATGGAAAGAAACAGATTCGAGGGGAAGAAAGGAAAGTGTTGATGTCATCCTTTCAGAGCTACATTCTTCCTCCCTCCAAGTGGACTGCTGATAGTGATTTCTTGTAAGAAAGGCTCGCTCTGGTAAGCAGGTTCATTAAACTCTCTGTGGTTCTCTGCCCAAGAGTGTCTGGGCTTGTGATACTCTGGTGAACAGGAATCTAGGGGCCTGAGAGGCAGGTGTGTGGCAACTGGCAGGAGACAGCAAAAAGAGGTGAACTGTGCAAAATGGTTTTTGTAGCTGGAACTGACAACCAAAATATGTAAAACTCCTGGAGTCTAGGGTACTGCCTGCTTATGAGGGCAGCTCTTCTCCCAGGAGAACTGCACGGAGCACTTCGAGAGTGAGAGGAATGGAGAAATCCAAGGACATGTATGCAGACACCATAGTCCCAGGAGAAATGGAGGAATGTCTCACGCTGAGCCCCAGGGAGCCAAGGAAGCATGTGGTGGGAGCCTGTTCCCACAGTGTCAGCAGCTGAACAGGCATGAGCGAGTCAATGCCTCCAGAGCAGATTTGGGAGCGTGGGGAACTCGCAGCCCCTCTCAGCTGGCCTGAGTCACAGCTCCAGCTGCTCTCTCCATGGGAAGGGACACGGTGACCTGGGGGCTACCCAGCAGGGCTCAGCCAAACCAGACAGTGCCAAATCCCTCAGTACCACAGTGTGGGACACCAACTACCTCTGTTCTTCTCCTCCCCAGAGTGCCAAAGCAGCACCCACTGCGCAGGCCCTGGCAGCACCAAGGCTGAACACCATCTCGGCCTGGACTGGCCATCCTGCCCTGCAGGAGATGGCAGCTCCCGAGGCACAGGCAGGCATGAGGGCAGGGAATGTGCTGCCCTGCTGCCCCTCTGCCTGAGGGGTTTATCAGCACCGTGGTGCTTCAGGTTTGGCACTTTCAGGACACTGTTTTGACAGCAACATTGCCCAGGGCTGCCTGAGGAGTATTCCCAGTTTCTGCTGGTGGCAACAGCCCCCCACTTTAGGAGACTGTTCAGGAGCCATTCCAGGGCAGGAGCCACAGGCTAAGGTAAAAGAAGGCAGCAGAAAGCAATGTTGTCCCAAAAATGGATAAGAGAAACCAGACAACTCTCCTTTTCTTCCTTGCCTCCACTCCTGAAGGAACCTGACAGGTTCACCAGCAGTTCTGCAGCCCCCCACAGCCAGTGGGTGTGAGCTGAGGATGAGTGGGTGGCAAGAATCATAGAGTCATCAAGGTTGGAAGAGACCTTTAAGATCATCAAGTTCAACCATCCAGCCAACACTACCACTGCAACCCCTAAACCACTAAATCATCACCCAGCACCAGATCCAGGTGCCTTTTAAACACCTCCAGGGATGGTGACTCCACCATCTCCCAGGGCAACCAATTCCAGTGCCTCAGTGGAAACTTTTAACCCTAACAGTGAAAAATGTTTCAATATCTAGTCTGAATTTCCTATGCCTCAGCTTAAAGCCTCTTCCTCTCATTCTCTCACTGCAGGCACGGCAGAAGAGACGGATCCCCCACCTCACTGCAACCTCCTTTCAGGGAGCTGTATAGAGGGATGAGGTGCCCTCTGAACCTTCTAAACAAACCCAGCTCCCTCAGCCCCTCCTCGTAAGACATGCCCTTTCAAAAGCCTTGTTGCTCTTCTCTGGACATGCTCCAGCACCTCAAAGTCCTTCTTGTAGTCAGGGGCCCAGAACTGAACACAGCAATCCAGGTGCCGGGTACAGAGGGACAATCCCTGCCCTGGTCCTGCTGGCCACACTTACTGGCCCAGGCCAGGATGCCACTGGCCTTCTTGGCCCCTGGCACAGCTGGCTCGCGTTCAGCCGCCTGTCACCCGCCGCCACGGGGCTCCTTTTGCTGAGGCAGAAGAGGGAACAGACGCGATGCCGCAGCTGAGTGCGGGACAGCCGGGAGGGACCGCGCACGCAGGGCTCAGCCGGCGGTGCGGAGAGCCCGGCGGCCGCGGGATGGCGGCGCTGCCCCGCTGCCGAGGCCGCGGCCGTGCCTGTGAGCGGGGCCGGGGCGGCGCCGCCGGGGAGGGGTTTCCCCGCCGCGGCTTAAGCGGCTGNNNCGGGGCTGCCCGCTGGGCCGGGTGCGGGACGGCTGCGGCTGCTGCTGGCAGTGCGGGCGCGGCGAGGGCGAGGCGTGCGGCGGCGGCGGCGCTGCGGGGGGACGCTGCGCCCCCGGCCTCGAGTGCGTGAAGAGCCGGCAGCGCCGCAAGGCGAAGGGCGGCCCGGTTCCGCCCGCCGCCGGCCCGCCCGGCGTGTGCCTCTGCAAGAGCCGCTACCCGGTGTGCGGCAGCGACGGGCTGACGTACGGCAGCGGCTGCCAGCTCCGCGCCGCCAGCCTGCGCGCACAGAGCCGCGGCGAGCCCGCCGTCAGCCAGCGCAGCAAGGGAGCCTGCGAGCAAGGTGCGGGGCGCGGAGCGGGCGGGCGGGTGCGGGACGGGGAGGTCCGCGCTGCTGCCCGGTTTCAGGGCGGAAACGCCGCGCCTCCCGAGTGCTCCTCATGCCCATTTATCGGGGCGCTTCTTTGTGAAATGGACGTGATTTCAGACCCACCTTAAATGGACTGGAGAGTCCCAGTCGGATGGCGCTGCCTAAACTTGGAGTAACTCTTGGGACCAGGCGCAGAAACGCAGAGGAGCTTGGGCGCTCGCTGTTGGCTTCCAGCGGTGCTGGAACTACACTCCCTCACTTTTCATGCTTTGCCTGAAGCTTGCCATTTGGGCTGCTGTGAGATGGAACAAAAGGGGTGAGCTATGCAGGGGAGTGTTCTGCCCGGGATGGTTGCAAGCAGAGAGGAAAGGAAATGATTAAATGGATGTGAAAGCCACAGAAATTAAGAGCCAGCATCCACTGACTTGCTTTGGTTCTAAATGAAAACAGTGACTTTCCTGTGAGCTGCACTTAGCGGTTTGCACTTACAGCATTTTCAACCAGGAGCTTGATTCATCCCAAACTTTTTCTTAGAGATGGTGCTCAGGGAAGAAATTGTTCTGCTATGGAGCCTCTACTAGAAATTCTGGCCTCTGAGAGTAGTTTTTGCTGGGCGGGAGGGAGGAGTAAGACATCGCATGCAAATCATATACTAAACATCTCAAGGACAAGATTGCAGCGCCAGTGCTGTTTTAGTGGAGGAGTGTTCTCATAAACACAGTATCTGCAGGTCACAACCTCCACCTCCTCCTTCTCTTGCTTCTCATAACTGAGGCCAAGTATTTTGCAAAAAAATGTTTCTGAAACTCCCAAGGCAGGCAGGAAAGACTGGCTGAGGATTGGGTTATGCGCTTTGACGTTGCCCATTAAATGCCCTGTGTGGCTTTTCACAAACCTTGTCCAAAGCATTAGGCTTACATATTAGCCAGAAACAGTGTGGTACATTATTAACTCCTGGAGGGAAGGAATTTCAGCCTTCAGGACAATATGGAATGAGATGAGAATGGCCTCAGTCTCTGCCTGTGTCCAGTATTTGGAAAGAGCCTTTCCTGCCCAGTGGCCTCAGGAGTCCTAAAATGTGTGCTGCTTCTTGGCTCTGCCAGCCCAGACAAGTGAGCAGATGGGTTTGAAAGACGTCATGCTTCAGGTGTGCACTTGAGAAGAAGGCTGTGTTCTCACTTGTCTTGCCCAAAGTAACATGAAAGTTCATTGCAAAGCAGGTATTGATACTTGTAAGATACTGTCCCAACCCTTGGCTGTGCTTCCTGGTTTCTCTCCCAGACTGGATGCTGGTTTGACCTGGTGGGGCTTTGGTCCAGACTATGGAGACAGAGTTTGATGAGGTAAATGCAAACATCAGCCACTGGCAGGAAGGACTGACCTTCCAGCCTCCAACAGGTTTTCTGTCCTGTGATCCTCACAGCAGCAGCTTCGCTGAGGAAGGGTCTGAGAGTGGGACAGCCATTCCACACACAAACTGCATCCTTTCCTTGGAGAAGGTCTCTTCAGGTGGGCAGATCTGCATCAAGACACCTTTGTGGGCTGTTACCTGTTCAGGAATTTCACTGGAGCATGTGGTGCAGAGCAACTGGCAAAATGTTCTGTCCTCCATCATTCAGGGGACCCATTCTTCTTTTGGCTTCTGCTGCTGGGAGAGCTCTGACCCAGCATGTCAGGGAAGGGAGCAGGATGGACCTGGGCTGCTCAGCAGTGGTGTCACAACTGACCCTGCAGAGATTTCCCTCAGCTGCATGAACCTTCCTTGTGCTGAGGGCCTTCTGGTGATATGCTCTGTGGCTTGCAGCAGAGGCAGGGATTTGCCCAACACCCCTGCTAGACAGCTGGAAGTATTTCTCTATCCCTCAGGGCCTCCAGGTAGTTAGGAGCATTGGGTGGGAATTGCGGGGAGTTGTAATCTTCACATGGATTTTGAAACACTGACAGGAAAGAACACCCATCCAATCAGCCTGACAGGATAGAACACTTTCCAGTATCTTTCCAGAGAGGAGATGACACTTTTCTAGGTTAGTAGAAGGACCTGAGTATTGTGGTAGTCAAATAGTGGAAGTTCTGGTTTTTGCCATTTCCCACCAGAAACAGATGTGATCTCTTTAAGGCACTGTGCAGGGTGGGATCCAGCACAGGGAGACCTGAGACAAACAGGCGGGATCAGTCATTTTTGTGACAGTTTTTGCACAAAAAGAAGTCCTTGGGTGACAGAGCACTTGGGCTTCCTGCTTGTGGTAGATGGGCTCTGAGGTGTCTGCATGCCCTCACACATCCTTTCAAGTCCAAGAGAGAGCAGCAGACAGTTATCTAAGAAGAGATCCAAAAACATGTTTTCAGCAGTGAGTCCTAACTGTGTTTGATTGCTCTTGGGATTTTTAAAATTTTTTTTTTGTTCAAGTGGAGCTAGAGGGGGGAAGACTCATTTTGCACATCCTGTTGGATCTTTCTTTGATATTAAATAGCAAAAGGAATGAGCATGTTCTCAGCCCTGCAGAATTTGCCTTGACCTTGTCCTTGATTGTTTCCCAGACCTCTCAGATGTGATGTCTGTGTTTTGTACAGAAATCATGAAGCCATGCATAAAAAGGTAATTCTGCATAACCAAAACTTCCTGCTGGAGGGCAGAGGAAGACACAGTTGAGAAGAGTTTGAAAGGGCAGAAATAACCCTTGCTCTACCTGCACTTGGGAGATGGAGTGGTCCAGCTAGTCCTTTCTGGAGTGGGTTTTATGTGGGCAGGACTGTTGGGGATGTCTGGAAAAAGGCCTCCTACTTGATTGCTAACTCCTTGAAGCTGCCTGGCTGCTCTTGGTGCTGTGCCAGCAGAAAAAGCTGCCTGCCTTTTTGCTCTAGGGGAGCTGGCAGAGATGCCATGGTGCTCCCTGCTGGCTGGGCTTCTGCTTTGCCTCATGCTTGCACTCAGAGCTGGCCCTGGGTTTGCCCTGCTCCCTGTCAGGGCACCACTATCCACATCCCATCTCTACCTGTGTGTCCCAACAGCCTCTTTGTAGCTAATCGCAGCACTGAGGATGCAGGAGGTGGATGCTCTGAGGTTTTCCATCTGCTTTCCAATATTGCCTTTAAACAGATTGTCTGTTTGCTCTCTGCCCATGAAGATGCAGCTCAGGTCTGCCTCCAGGTCTTGCAGGCAGGGCAGGTCCAGACACAAAGCAGAAACCTGCTGGTGGGGCAGGTACAGGCGGTCTGGGCTGCCTCCTCTGGTGGCCCCCTTGGCAGAAGGGGAGGCTGCTCTGACAGCTGGGGAGCTGCCCTCTGTCACTGCTGTCACACAGCCGTGCACAGATGTTCAGAAGTGCCTCTTAAAGAGTTGGTGGCTTCAGGAATGCAGGATGAAATTCAATTTGCAGTGCACACACTGAGGCTGTTTGCAGCCAGCTAGGACCTGGGGCAGGAGGACTGTGGTACCCACTGCCTTGCAAAGCCAGCTGGCATAAAGAATTAGGCCTGCATGGCTCAGCTCAAGCCAGGCAGAAAAACAACCTCAAAGCGCCAATCCCCATTAAAAAAAAAAAAAGCTATCAGGATTCCTGATGATGATCTCTAAGCTGAAAAATACCAGGCACTGACTTGTTGCCTAACCAATGCAGGAAGGGACAAATACCCCTGAGCCCTTCTTATCATTAGCTACCAGCAAATACCTGCTTTGAGAGACGTGACCGCTGGAAATACTGCCAAAGTTGTCTCTTACATGGTTTGAAGTCCCTAATGCTTGTTCCAGCAGGGTTGGGGTGTCCAGGTTGTTTTTCTGTTGTCAGTCAAGACTTTCTCTTTGTGTTATGCTCCCTCATCTCTTGGTGGAAGCCTAACTCTTGTACTTGCTCAGATGCAGTGTACCACAAAGCAGCTCTCAGCAGACTTCAGAGGACAGTGTTTCACTCTCAGGGGAACTGGTGCTGCTTTGTACCTACCTACAAAGACCTCCTGGGGGTAGAAACTCAGGGCCTCTCTGTGTGAAGGGTAAATTTGCTGGCGTTCCAAGCACTCTGCTTTTTTTTTCTATTCATCTGAGTGTGGTTTAAAACTCTGTGGCTCCATGAAAGTGTTTTTCCAGCACTGGGAACATGCAGGGCTTTTCCTTATGATTGTGAGGGCTCCCACAGATAAACAGCAGAACCAGAAGAGATTATTTTACAAGTGACTGTAACCAGCATTAAACTTGTCTAAATCTCACCAGCAAGGAGATCCCAGTCACTGGAGCTGTGCTGCCCTCTCAGAGAGGTATCTTTTTGGCTTTCCAAAAGCCCAGACAGCATCCCTCATGGAAAGGGTTTCTTTTGCTAATGTGCCACACATCAGCTCTAGGGTATGGAAGAAGGTGGGTATGAGGTTTCTTGGCGGTCCACAGGGTTTAAAAAAACAGGCTGATGGATGTAGGATTGTGACTGCCAGGCTCTTGTGGAGACTGGCAGCCCTAGGGGCAGATTTATCTCCCCTCCAAATTCCTGCCAGTATACCCCATCAGTGGTTTTGCTTTGCTGATGCTTCACTGTTCCATAAATGTTCATCTGTGCTGCAAAGAAAGAAGTGCCAGGTTCCCACAGGTCAACTTCAAAACAAGAAACATGAATCACATCTGTTGGCTCATTCCATCCAAATTCAGCTGTTGAGGCTTTGCCAGAAATATCAGTTTTGAGGGTGGTTTGTGTTATTTTTTTAATCCACCACCAGAGTAGAGCAAAAACAGGAGTTTGGGAAAAAAAAAACAACTTGTGGGAAATGGCAGACTGCTGTTATCACTGAGATTAGCTCATCTTCTCCTGATACAGCTGCCTTAAGTACAAAGGCCCCCAACTCTAGACACCACAAAACATAGTTCATAGCCAGGCACATTCTGCAAGAAATTCTTCTAGATTTGTTAACAAGAGGTTCAGATTGCTGTAGTTCTTTCCTTCCATTCTTCCTTTTCTGGATTTTAAGGGATTTAGAAGAATGTACACATTTCATGAGTGGTTTTGTCTTTGCTGGGTAAAGATTTAGAAAAGTTTTTGCTAAGTTATCTTGGCTGGAAATGAACCGAGTTCCCTGATTCTCCTGTAAATCTGGTGAGAGTGGGGGTCTTGCAGCAGTGGCCTGCTACCTGCTGGCTTCCACTGCAAAGGAAAACATTGCTTTTGTAGGTGGATCTTTCCAGCATAGTTGTGCTGCATCCTCAGAGTCTGTGACAGAGCACTCTGGGGTGGATCCCATCAGGGCCCACAGATTTGTGAATGTCCAACTGGCACAGAAAGTCACTAATAATTTCCTCATGGATTATGGGGGCTTTGCTCATCACCCCATCATCAACTTCCAGCTCTGGGAGATGGGTATCCTGAGGACAACTGGCCCTGATATTTAACACAAAGAAGGTATTAAGTGCCTCTGCCTTTTTCTCATCCCCTGTCACTGCACTACCCTCTGCATTCAGCCAATGATGGGCCACTCCTCAGCCCTCCTTTTTGCTGCCAATGTATACATGGAAACTTTTTTTGTTGTCTTTAACTATAGCAGCCAAATAAAATTCTAGTTGGGCTTTGGCCTTCCTAATTTTCTCCCTACATGACGTCACAACATCCTGATAGTCCTCCCACATTACCTGACCCTTCTTCTAGAGGTGATAGATTCTCCTTTTTTTTCCTAAATTCCGGCCTAAATTCTCTGTTTAATGAGGCTGGTCTTTTTCCCTGGTCCCTTTTTCCCTTTTTCTACACTTGTGGACAGTCTGCTCTTGAATATTTAACAATTCCTTTTTTAAAACACATCCAGCCTTCCTGGACCCTTGTGTTTCATGACTGACTCCTCAACACTGCTGTTCATTGCTCTCAGTGTTCAAAAATACTGGTGATTTAAAATTCATGTGTAACTTTGGGGACTTGTAGCACAGGTCATAAATTCCTCCTTAAAAGGCATTCCACTATTTGAAAAGGTTTTGGTTCATTGGAGCTTGAGTTTTTATGGTTACTGTGCTGAAAGTTACTATGGAAGTTGTTTAATATATTACTTGTTGGAGTCCTAGAGAGCAGCAGTATGCCAGGGACTATGCAGAAGCTTCACTGCTCAGGAGGATCCTGTATTTCACCTGTGTCTTCACTCTCAATCATCACAGCATACCCAAATTCACTAGGAAAGAATGACTACTGATCAGCAAATTCCACCCTATGTTTGTTTTTTCTGTTGCTGGAAAGGCATGCTGTGTTTTAAAAAAATGTGTTTAATCCTTTGTTGGGCTGAGGTTGACTGAGGTTAGAACTAAATAGGAGATTACCACGTAACAAGTCTAATCAGGTCGGATTTTTGAAAGCCCTGCTTGCTTTTCCATGCATAAATGCTGCCATGCCTTTTTTTCTGTCTCTGTTTTCACATTCTTTCCAGGCTTTAGCTCATGGAAGTAGATGATCTTTGTGGTCCCTTTCAAGGCACAAGGTCTCTGGAGGCAGCGTTCCCAAACCACGGTAAAACACCAGGGCTGGGATTTCCAGCGGCAGTGCTGTGCACCACGCTGAGCCCAGTGCTGTGGAAAGCAGGAGTTTCTCCATGGCACAGTGATGGTGGGCCAGGGCTCTTCCTCAGTGAGCTGACTAAGGCTCAAGTCTGCAGGGCTTGGGCCAAAGCTGTGTTTGTGTTTGCAGCCTTTCCAGGGTCTGCTGGGGAGCATCCAAACAGACACAGCATCCAGCACTCGCTGCCTGCTGTGGCTCCTTAGTTTCCTCAAAGACAGGCTACAGGAGGACCAGAAACGCCTTGAGAAGAAGGTAACAGAGGAGGCTTGTGCATCTGCCAGAAAGCTGCAGGCAGCTTTGGGAGTGGGCAAGGCTGGGAGCTGCCCGCGCTTCCCATCTGCTGCCGCCTCTCACAGGGCACTGACGTGGGAGGGAGCAGCTGAGGCCGTGCCAGCTAACATGACTGGATGTCCATTGCTTGTGGCAGGTTTCCCTTTTTCCATATAAAGTAATTTTCAAGGGAAAGTACTTTACCAGCAACTTAGGAGACTGGAGTTGGTTTATTTTCAGGCTTGCAATAGCTTGTGAGAGTGAACAATGTTCAGCTTTTGCTTGGGTTTGTCCTCTTGGGGAGTGTTCCCAGCCTGTGTGTGACCTGGGGCTGTGGCAGGGCAGTGCAGTGCTGCCTGGGAGCCAGGCTGACACCCACGTGAGCTTCAGTCTGTGGTACATGTGTGTTCATGGTCTGAGCATCCAGGCACTCCCAAGCACCAGGACATAGCCCACGGTGCTTAATGCCCAGCTGATTTTTGCCTTTAGTCACATACCTGTAGGCCCCTTGATTTTAGCAGAAAAGTCACTGCTCTGCTTGCTGTGTGGTTTTTATTTGGTTGTGTGTGTGAACAGCAAAGGAAGATTGGTGAGGGGCTGCTAACCCTCAGCTGAGTGACCATCCAGGAATCAGTGAGGGACAAGTGGCTGGGCTGGGAGATGCCAGGTCTCTGCCAGCTGAGGCTGGGCACAGAAGGGGTGCCTGGTGCAGGAGGGGTGTCAGGAAGAGATGACAAATAATATCCTCATCAAGGACGCCAGAGGCTCTGCTGTGCACATTGCTGTGGCAGAAAAGCAACTACATAAAACAATGGGAACTCCTTTCCAGCTGCTATTTTTGACATAACACAGGCTGTCAGTTCCCTGCAAGCTGCAGAAAAAGTGTTTTCAGGCTCTGTCCCAGGGTGAATGAGCTCTGGGGCTCTGTAAGAAGCGCCTTCCTGGGCCAGGGAGAGCTGTTTGTTTTACAAACAATGGGCAGAGCACAGAGGAAATGCTTGAAGTGCCTGTGGAGAGCAGCTAATCTCCATCAATAGCCTGGGCTGTCATCTTGGTTAAGGAGCTCATGTGCAGTCAGGGAGCATCTGTACATCCACAGTGTCCCCGGCAGGACAGCAGGGACCACTCAGCCACCTGGGTGGTGGTGACCATTTTTTTGGGCAGGTGCAGCCCTCAGGTCCTCAGCCTGAAGGAAGCTGATGGAGAAACCATCCTGTCTGTGGGCAGTGCTGCCAGTGGAGCAGCCATGCCTCCGAGGTGCAGGCTGTAGGATGGTGGTGGGGGAACTCCTTGCTGGCAAGAATCAAGACATCTGCTCTGTACAAGGTGGGTTGGTTTCCAGTCCCGGCTTTGCTTCCTTCACAAGAACTCCTGAAGCAAGAGGGGCACTTGGAGGACGGAATGTCCTCACATCTTCCGAAGTGTGTGCAAGGCTCTGCCATCCCCTGCCTCTCCTGCTGTGACAAGTTGCCATATCATCTGTCCATCTCGGTCCACTTTGAGGGCTGAGCATGAGTGGGACCAGCACAGGCAGCAAGAAGGGTGACTGCCATGCACCTGGGTGTCAGCTCACTGTGAAGAGAGTTTAGCTGCTGCTGTGGCCAGTTGTGGTTTGACTTTAAAGATGATGACTTCTTGGCCTTTCTCATTTATTTTTAGTGGCGGAAGAGCCCAGCTCTAGAGTTTTGGCTGTATGGATTTAAGTCAAATGTCCAGAGAGAGCACAGTGACTTTTCCCATGACACTTGCTGCATCTCTCAGGATGTGTATTCCCTCCTGGCCTCAGAGCTGTGTCAGATACAGGCAGAGGCCTGTGGATGCTTCCAGCTCATTTTACAGCCAAATGTAGAACGTCATGTTCTGCCTGGTTGGATCAGGATGTACATCCCGAGCTCAGGACAAGCTTGTAACAGCCAAGCTCTCATTGTGCTGTGACTGCTGTGCCAAGCCAGACAGGGCTTTGCTGTGAAGCTGTGCAGGCAATTCCCCTGTCTGAGAAGGTAAACAATTTCTCCCCACCCATGAGGTGGGTAGAAATTCCTTGTCTCTTTTCCCCTGACGGCAGCTGCTGATGAAAGATCGTGGTGTGACCTGTTCATCCTGGCAGGGAGAATAAACACCTCTGGGCAAGTGGGTGCCTGAACCCTTGGCACTGGGGGAAACTTGGCAGTAACCAAGACTGAGACACCTCAGGCAGTGGATTTAGTGGTGTGCTGAATGCTGCCAGTTCCTAGCCAGGAGAGAATTGAGCCACATCCTGGAAGAGCACAATAATGCCATAACATCTTAACATAATGCCTTAACGTGGCTTTTAATGTAAGAGCCAGGATCTCTCTGTGGTGTGAGGCAGTGATCACTGGGTAGCACTTGTGTGTTTCCTGCCTCATGGAAGAACCCCAGTGATAGGATGGTGTCCTACAGGGGCAGACACAGCTTTGGCAGCCGGGGGCAAGTCCCAGGCTCTGCTTTTGGAAAGCCTATTTGCATGTGGAGGGCTGGACAAGAGAATAACAGCAGCAGGCTTTGCTGGGTGCATAGCAGCTGCAGACCCCTCACAGAGCGTGGGTCCAGCTAAGCTGCCTGGGGACATTGTGTCCCATCACAGCTTCCAAGCACCTTATTGTCCCTATTGTTTAAGGGATAGCAGAAAAAAGAACAGCTGGGCTGTGCAGGAAGTGCTGCACTGGGTAAGGGGAGCAGAGTGCACAACCTGAGGTGGCCCCATCCTGCAGATGGCAATGGGCTGGCCACTGTAGGGTACTCAGGGGAGGAAACCTTCAGCAGGGTGTTGAAATGCTCCTTAAATCCTCTTCTCAACTGAGAGACTCATCTCTGTGCTGATGAGGAGCACCTGGGTTGTGGTGTCTGCCAGGAAACCAGCCTGTGCTGACTATTAGGTGTGGTTTCAACCATCGCCCAGGGCTACACATAAAACTTTTCTGCTTCTCTACAGCTGCCTCCTGTTAAAAATCAGAACTGGGATACTTCTGTAACAGAGAATGTTGAGTGCAGCCACCCCTAGTCTCTGAGCAGCTTCCCTCCAGCAGGCTGTGTACAGTCATTCCTCGAGAGAGAAGTCTCAAAGAGAAGAGCAAACACTTTTCTAGGTTTGCACCAGCTGTTCAGGAGCAGGGAACCACCTCAGCATCTCTTGGGCTAAAATAGAAGCATGGCTGGTACCATTTGGCTGTGATACTAGTGTGAATCTGCCCCCGGTCACGAGGAGGAAGAAGACACCAACTTTGTGCTGATGGTGGTGCAGCGGGATGCACTTGAAACCTGCACCCCACTGTCTGTGACAGGGCTGCAGGGTAGAGTGCACATGCAGGGCTGAAATCAGTGCAGATTTAGGACCCCATAAGGAGCATTAGGACCCATATCTTCCCCTCTTTTACAGGACTGGGAATGAGCTGTGTGTGGTCTGTGAGCCAGTATACGCAGGAGCTTCTGTCAGGCTGGCTCTGGAGTACCTGTCTGCATAGGAAATGCCTTCTCCTGATGGAGCATAATGGGAGCTTTAGTTTCCTGTTACTGCCTGCATCTTCAGAACAGAAGGGGGAAAGCTCTTTGTGGCATTCTTAGAGCTATCAATAACTGGAAATAAACACTCTGTGCTCCTTTGGTCTGCACTTCCTATTGCAGGGAATTAATAGCTGCGTTTTGCAAAACAGCCTCACTAAAGAGGGATTGAACAGAAACAGCCTTTCTTCCCTTTCTGGGATATGGGTTATGTCTCCAGCATTTCCCAGCCTGAGGGATAAACATCTCCAGCCAGATCTGCAAAACAACCCTGCTCTGATCTGCTTTAGAAGCAACTCTCTATTTAACCAGGAATTGGAGCTCTCTGGAGAAAAACACAGCTCTGCAGTCACCTTCTCCCTTCCCAGATTTTGCCCATGGAGAGCTCTGCTACCACCCAGCCAACCTTCTTTGGCTGAGCATTGCACACAGGTAAAACAGGAACAGCATAACATGGAATTCTGCTAGCCCACATTGAAATCATGCTGGGAGAAATGATGCTGCAAAGTTGGGCAAGCTCTTCATGGCATGACAGAGTGGGATGCACCCTGTCTCCTAGGCGTCCTTTCCTCCATGCCAGCTGACTTTGTGACTGCATGGTAAGCAGAGCCAGCAGTTGGTACAATTATTCTCAAACCCTGAGATGAGAGAATACAAACAGTATTTCACTTCTAACCTCAACCTTGCGAGGAGGAGGACTCATCACCTGAACTGCTCAACACTTGATTTTTCATCTGGGGCAAGCGCCCATCGGTCTGGATAACTCAGGGCTGGGTGTGTGTGTCACTTTGGAGAGAGAAGTGTTGTGATGTGGGATCAGTCCAGTGAACTTTGATTCTAGCAGGGATCACTTTCACCTTATCCTCAAAACCGTGACTGGCTCCCACTTAAAAGGCTTATCATGGAGTCAGGCTTGCAGTCACCTGGGACTTAAAAGCTTTTCTCCCTTTTTGCAGGACCCTCCATTGTGACTCCTCCTAAGGACATCTGGAATGTGACAGGAGCACAAATCTACCTGAGCTGTGAAGTCATTGGCATCCCAACCCCTGTCCTCATCTGGAACAAGGTAAGGGCCCTGCTAGGAGCTCTTACAGCACAGCAATCCTGAGGTGGCTGAAAGTGCCTGGTAAGCACAAAGGCCATAGCAGATCTCTGTAGAAACACGCCTCTTTGATGAGTTCTCTCATCTCTGCAGTTCTGTCCACCCCCTCACATCTGGTTTTGCTTAGTTTTTAGACATTATTTAGCAAATAAACTCTTGTTGATCCCGCGCCAGGACAGGACTCGTGTTTCTCTTGGTAGCGCCTGGTATTTGGAGCATGTAGGGAATGTCCCTTGACCTGCCTTCACCTTCACCCTGCTGGCAGCAGTGACTGTGAGGTGGCTAGACATCGCCCACGTTGGGAACAGGAACCACATGGGGCAGTCACTGAGCTCCAGTAGCCTGCAGCATGTTGATTTTGGCAGCACTGGTAACATCTGGCTTAGGACGGGGCCAGTGTTGAATGGAAAGGATCCTGGCTGTAGGGCTGAGAGGCACTGCATGGCTCCTGCAGCCTCCTCAAGTGCCACAGGTTTGTGCACACTTGTGAAAGGTCTTAAAAGTAAGCTGAAATGTTACTACTTAAGGATACTAGGGAGAAAAAAAACTAGGTTGACCTGAAGTTTGCTGTAAGACAGCAAGCTTTATTTGTAGGGGTTCAAGAGCAGACTGTCAGGTGAGCATACAGTGTGGGCTTGTTGACTCAGGCAGCGTGTTCTGCTTGTTTATGGATAGATGCTGAGTTTACACTGACTGTCAGTGCTGCTCTCCTTTTCATGCCTCTCCCTCATGGCTGAGAGCCTGCTTGACCTGGTGGTAACAAGGGCTGAGCACCACTTATCCCATGCTGGGCTCTGGGCAAGACTGCAGTGCTGCTTTCCCATTGATGCTGTGCCTACCAGGAGGGGCTGCCTGGTTTGCTGCAGCAGAAACAGGCAGGGCTGAACACAGCCTTGGGGACACACACACAAGTTCTGTGAGGCCAGATCAGCACAGGGCATGTTGGCCCACCCCACTGCCCAGCACCACCTGTCCCAGAAAACTGGGCCACTCTGTTGCTGCTGAGGTGAGGGGAACCCAGCCGTGGTGTGGCTGCACTACATGGAGGACAAGGTGAAACTGTGACACTAGAAATACAAAACTCATCCAGGTATATCTAATGTTGATCTGTGTGCAGGTATGGCTCAGCATGCAGTTCCAGCATAAGTTAGTCCAAGTTCTTACCCATTCCTACCCCTCTGTTTAGATAATTCGAGGACAGTATGGTGTCCAGAGGATGGAGCTTCTGCCTGGGGACCGGGAGAACTTGGCTATCCAGACCCGGGGGGGCCCTGAGAAACACGAAGTGACTGGCTGGGTGCTGGTAAGTACTCTGTGTGAGCACAGAGCTGCACAGGCAGCAGAGTGCAGTTTGCCAACTGCTTATGGACAAAGAACACTACAGCAGACAAATGGCAACACAGGGAATTTGGAGGAATAAAACCTGTGTGAGTTAGAGATGAAGGGTAAAGGTGGCTGCTGGTTCCAGTCTTACCTGGTGCATGCACCCTTCCTCTGTCTAGCATGCAGCAAAAGTGTGCACATCACTTGCAAAATCAGAGGAGTAGAGGGGAGGACAGGGTTTGACACAAAGAAGTTCTGTAAGATACCTGAAAACAGAATCACCTCTGCTGCCAGTGCACGAGATGCTCACTGGGGGAGCGGGGTGTGTTTTTTCCCTTAGATATCTCCTCTGAGCAAAGAGGATGCTGGGGAATACGAGTGCCATGCATCAAATGCCAAAGGAGAGGCAACAGCTTCTGCGAAAATCCACGTTGTGGAAACTCTGCATGAAATAGCCCTGACCAAAGGTTGGTAAGTGTGGCTGAACACTCAGCAGCTCTCTCCCCTAACAGTTTATTGTTATTTGATACAAAAGGACTACCTCTGTTTAACACTATAAAAAAAAAAACAAAAAACCCAAAACCCAACAAACCCTCGCCCCACTAGAAATACTAGTTTAATGTGCAAGTTTTTGCATTTGACAGAACATTCCAGCAAATCTTAGCTGCTACAGTTCTCAAGGGATTGTTAAATAAACCCCCATATGCTGTAAAGTACTGGAAATACCAAATAAACATTAAGAAACACCCTCTGGGTTTTTTATAGAGCAGTTTCCAATGGGTTTCCAGCCCTACATTTGTGTCATCCTTTCATTGTTGTCTGGATGCTTTCAAACCTGCTCCTCTCTCCTGGGAGCAGTATTGGCACAGCAGCAATTCCAGTTCCTGCCATGTTCTCTGCATGCTGGGATGTGACACCTCAGGAGATTTGCCACAGCATGTCTGTTTGCTAGGCTGTGTGCAAAGCTGGTGGCAAACCAGCCACTCTCATCCCAGCTGCAGAGGATGGCTCAGTACCACATGCTTAGGAATAAATCTGGAGAGCCAGAACAGTAACTGCAACCCTGCTAGAGGCAAAGGGACAGGGAATAAAACATGTGGCTAGAGAATACCGTGCTGCCCAAATCCCCTATTGGATGTAATCCTTAGTTTTAATCCCTGCTAGCTTTATCCAAACTATATAGTCTTGACTTTTTGTGTCCTTATGTCTGTGAAGAGCTAAAATACTTCCCTTAGAAGAGCATTAGCAGCACCTGGCACTGAAATGAGCAATGAATCCAAGTATCATGCACAGGAACTTTGCTAATGGTTTTAAGGTAGTCTCTAATCCCTTTTCAAACATCTTATTTATGGATGTGAATAAAATTGAGTTTTACTGGGTTGTGCCATGAACAGCAAGCTTGTACCCCAAAACAGTTTGTTTCTTGCACACACCCAGCACATGCTACAGCTGGTTCTTTTCAGCTGTAGGAAAGCTCTGAGGCATCTGGAGCGAAGTGATAAGTAAATGTAGACTGCCACTTTAAAGGAAATTGATAAAGTTAATGGAACAAACTGTCAGACATCATAGCTACACCATGAGAGTGTGTGTGCCATGTCCAGGTGATCTCAGCACAAAAAAAGGTGTCTATTATCACCCCCCTGCAGCAGGGAGGGAAGGAAAGAAAGCAGGAAGGAAGGAGGGGTCAGGGCTCATCCTCAGCCAAGAGATCCCAAAGCTGTTGCCAAAGTTGCAATATTCCCCCTTGGAACAGGACAGAGTGTAACATGTTTTTGTTTTTCCACAGATGATGGTGCAGAGCTGTGATGTGAGGACTTTCACTTACGCACAGTTTTAAATTAGTATTTTGGAAAGCTGCAAGCTCTGGCTTTTTCTAGCTGACTAATCAGTCCCTCTTAACTCCCTTTTTCTTTGAGTCCCAATTTGCTTGCACACTTCTTTCACAGATACACAAATAGATTCACAAGCTCGATTACAAATTTTAATTCTATTTACAGGAAATAAACATACTTTTGAACAGCACACGGCAGATGAGTAAAACTAATTTTGAATGCAACGTGTACAAAATGAAACAAAACCTGAGTACTTCACTTGAGTCTCATAATTAAAAAAAAAAAAGCCCTTTTAAGGCTAAACACTCATCATACGAGGTGCAATACTCATAGACATCAGTTCCTGGAAGAGGAGCTTGCAGGCGTAGGGCATTCGAACCAAAGATATCTGGAAAGAGATTGCAAAAGTCTTGTGATAAACACTCATAAAGCATCAACTTCCACATCCTCTACACAAATAACTTCGTTGAGTTTTTGGCTTAAAAGCAAATCTGAAGTTATGCATGAAAGCATTTAATGAGAATTGCTCACAGACAGTACCAAAGCAAGAAGGAAGCTGAGCCTGTCTGTAGGGGCTACACAGCAGCTGTCCAGAACACATTTTTAACATAAAAATGCAGCCAAGGGATCTGATCCTAAACAAGAACCATTTAACAGAACATGTGCATAGCAGAGTGTGCCTGAGGTGCATAAAGCGGGTAAGGTTTCCAGCACACATCACTCTGGAACCCCAGAGTGCCATTGTTCAGAGTTGCAGCAGTAAGTCCTTGGCACAAAAAAAAGCCTGTTCAAGGCTACTATTTTTATCTCTGCTACCGCTGTCCCTTGACATACTTCTGTAACCAAGCATGCACTGCAGAGCTTTTATTAAATTTAAAAAACCCACCAAAGTGCAGCACAAAAGACCTCCTGTGGGGACCCAGCTCTGCAAGCATAAATATCTTCATGGGACAGTCACAAGGGCGATGCCTCTAAATTCCTGTGATTCTGAGTTTTACTTCTAAAAATAAGTTCTTGAGCATTTAAAGTCTCTGAAAACTCTGCACTGTACAACACTTGAGCAGCATTTCCTGCCAAGTGACAAGCCAACACTGTAAAATTAATAAGGAAGCATCCAAATTGACTACAACACTGTAAACACTTAAAACAGTTATGAAACTAAAATAGCAATTGTTCTGGTGCTTCTTTAAATATTTACTTCCCTATCCTCCTGCTTCACTCAAGTGGCATTTCCTCCTGCCCACAAGGAGAAACAATGGCTGATGGAAACCACACGCACCTGAGTTTTATTGCGGCACCCGCGGCATTCGTAGGTGTGAGTCCTCGTGTTTGCAATTGCCATGATTCCACAGAGGTTACACACGTGGACCTGGTATGGGTCTGAAGCTTCAAACAATCTTTCTCTCAAGAACTGGGCTGCTCCATGAGCAATCTGGCAATCTCGTTCCATTTCTCCAAAGCGAAGGCCACCATCACTAAAAGGAACAGAAAAAACCCTCAACTTTGGAGTTCACTGGCAAAATAATCAGTTCTTGTTGGTGGAACAAGTATCTGTATTGCAAGGCAGGAGGAAAGCTGTGCATCAATTTTCCTCTAACACCACAGAATAAAACTGTGAAAACAGTCATTAATAACTGCTGATGAGCATTCCTACAGCTGGTGTCTGACAGCCATAGCACAACCATACAGC